TGGACAGCATGCGAGGTCACACTGGGTACCTGTAGTGGGGGGCCAGGTTATCCCAGTTCTGAATGATCGATAGGCCAAACTTCCCTGAGTGCCCCTTGGTCCTGGTGATGCCTCTTTGACCTGATGCCCTACAGACATGGAGTTCCTGGAGGTACTGACCGAGGGCCTTGAGCGGGTGCTGTTGGTGCGTGGCGGTGGCCGTGAAGTCATCACCATCTACTCTTGAGCCCAATACAGACTTGCGGCCTAGAGTGGAAGTGTTCAGTGTAACACCCCCTCCCAGCACCCACCTGCTAGCCCTGCTTTGCTTGGCCCTGCCCTGGACACAGCTTTGCTAGGTCTCCTTAGAGCCTGGTCCTGGGCCTGGCAATGGAGATGGATCCGAGGTCCTGCAGGACCCTGAGAGGTTTGGGGGCTGTCCCATCCAGCACTCCTGGAGTCCTGCCCTGGCTGGAGAAGACTGATGGGGCTGACATGGGGTTTGAAGGCAGCCAGCCCAGGAGAGCTATTTATTGAATATTTATTGTTTGGATGTCACCATCAGAGAGAAGGGAAAGGGTGACAAGGTCGGGGGTGGGGAGGTCTGCCCCAGCCCACCTGCTGGAAGACCTGGCTTAGGCTACTGTGGGCAGGGACCCCCACCAAGCTGAGCCTAATGGAGCCAGCTGAGGCCTGACTTTTTTCAATAAAACATTGTGTACTTCTGGGCCTCCTGCCGCCCAGGCTCTTTTTCCCCTGGCGCCAAGGGAAGAAGGCGGAATTGAACCCAGGCCCAGAGCTTGGCTCCCTGAGGCTGTGCCCCTTTCCAGCAATCTCTGGCCACCCCATTGGCCAGGCTGTCCCTCCCCTTGCCCCCAAGGCCCCTCCCACCCCCACTCCAGATAAGGCCAGCCCAAGACTGCTTCACTGGGCAATAGGCACTAGGGCTGGAATGGGGCCGCCCGGCTCCCCATGGCAGTGGGTGCTGCTGGTGGTGGGGCTGCTGCTCCCCCCCGCCACCCCCTTCTGGCTCCTCAATGTGCTGTTTCCCCCGCAAACCACGCCCAAGGCTGAGCTCAGTAACCACACAAGGCCCGTCATCCTCGGTAAGCCCCCGCCAGGCCCCTGACGCACCAGGCCAGATTTGGGGGAGCCTGGGTCCCAGCCCCTGGTAGTCAACCTTGCCAAGGCCCTTCTGCCCCTGCATTATCCCTGATACCTGCCTCAGTGTCCCGAGGGGCCAAAAGCTTGTCCTGCAGAGAAATGAACCCCTTTCCCCTACCACACTGTCCCTGTGTCTCTGAGTTATCTACCCCAGGTGGGTGGAGTGGGGGTGGGTGCCTGAGGCCTCGTCCAAGGCATTATAAGCTATGGTCAGCTGCAGCCACTGGACACTGGGCCAAGCCCCACCACTCCTTCCTCAGCCCCCACCCCAGCAAGGACAAGATGCACAACACAGGAGAGCGGGAGAGGCCCATCAAGGCCTGCCCCCTACTCTTAGGCTCAGCTCCCATTCCCCCATACCTATTTGTTCTTATCTTGGACTTTGACAGTAATGGAGAACCAGGCTAAGTGTTTGCTTTGTGGGGGCAGAGGTTAGTGGCCTTGGCCTCTGCGCTTAACCCTGCCCAAGGGGAGCCTGGGCTTTGTGCTGTTGGGGGGATGGGGCAGGGGAGTGTGGTCAGCAAGAAAGAATTGTATCCTTAGACCCTGGGGGTCGAGGGTATGGGAGATGAAAGGGCGGGGCTGGCTGGTCACTGCAGTGGGGCTGGCGGGGATCATGGGGAAATCCAAGCAATCCAGAGTGAAGACTAGTGCCCGCAGTGCCTGGCTGCTTGGGGAATCAGCTGGAAGCCAAGCTGGATAAACCAGGTGTGGTGAACTGGATGTGCTACCGCAAAACAGAGGACTTCTTCACCATCTGGCTGGATCTCAACATGTTCCTACCCCTTGGGGTAGACTGCTGGATTGATAACACCAGGTATGTGCCATCCCCTCTACCCCAGCTCCCTCACCCTGCCCCTTGGTTGCTGGCCTGCTGAATGTCCCACTGCCACCAGGGTTGTTTACAACCGAAGCTCTGGGCGTGTGTCCAATGCCCCTGGAGTACAGATTCGTGTCCCTGGCTTTGGCAAGACCTACTCTGTTGAGTACCTGGACAACCACAAGCTGGCAGGTGTGTGCACTGGGAAGAAGGGCAGGGCTCTGGGCTATGGTGGGCCTGCAGCAACCATAGCCAGAGCCTCAGTGCTGTTGCTTCCGCAACAGGTTATATGCACACCCTGGTGCAGAATCTGGTCAACAATGGTTACGTGCGGGATGAGACGGTGCGGGCCGCCCCCTATGACTGGCGGCTGGAGCCCAGTGAGTGTCTCTGCAGATGAAGGGCTTGGAGAAGGGCATGTGGCCCCTAAAGTCCACGGCCCTAACCCCATGCACCCCCCTCAAAGGTCAGCAAGAGGAATACTACCGGAAGCTCGCTGGGCTGGTGGAAGAGATGCATGCTACTTATGGAAAGCCCGTCTTTCTCATTGGGCACAGCCTTGGCTGCCTGCACCTGCTCTATTTCTTGCTGCGCCAGCCCCAGTCTTGGAAGGATCGCTTCATCGATGGCTTCATCTCTCTTGGGGCTCCCTGGGGTGGCTCCGTTAAGCCCTTGCTGATCTTGGCCTCAGGTGAGATGGCCTCTGATCACCCACATCCTGTGGGGAGTTGAGGGGTGGAATGAAGCTGACCATGGACCTGCCCTCATTCCT